ATATACACACACAACGTCATTACATGTTTAAAAAGTAAATCACGCCAAATTAAAATTAAAGGAAAAATAGTCTTAGAATTGAAAATATATATTTTGAAGGCCTAATTAATAATTTAACCCTTGAAGTATATCATTTTTTCACTTTGCATTCTAATTTTTTTTCCCGGATTACCTCTTAAACTATCATTTTCATAATAATTTATCTTAAAATGAATAAGTGACCAATAAAAATGAGGCACATTAATATTAGATGTCGATAATTTTTAGGGTTAATAAGACAAAAATGAAAGGTGTATGGTGAAAAAATGGGGAATAGTTTGAGGACTAAATTGCAAGTCAAGTCGTTTGCAAAAAGTTGAGAAATTATAAATGGTCATATTATATTAAAAAGAGTAAATTCGTAAAACAAATATAGTTTAAGGGCCTCCTATAAATTAGACCTCTGAGGGTGGAGGTTTGGGTATTCCGTGCATATAGACCATGCTGAATGGTGGTCAGAAAATTATGACTCCTTTCTACCCTCGTACCCGTTTACTTCTTCGAGGCTCCAACAAATTTTAATTTTGTATTGATTTTACGACTAAATCTTAAAATATTTTAGTTTTAATAGTAAATTTTGCTTTTCGCTCAAATATAAATACTGAATCGTTAATTCATTGATAATAAGGTGATGTTGTGGTTTAGTATTGACGTAGAAGCTAAAATTTATTAATTTTTTTTATTTCAATTCGCCATTATCTTTACAAAAAATTAGGGATTTTATTCATTTTTAACCATCGTCGTTAACCAAAACCATCGTTCTCTGGGTTTTTTTCTAGGGATTTTAGAAGTCTGGAATGTGTCTTGATTTTGAAATGTTGGTTGTGCCTTGTGTATATTTCAGGCATTTACATTGTAATGGGTCCTCATTAGGGCTGTAAATGAGACGAGACAGATCGCGAGCTACTCGAGATCGATTGGGTCAAGACTCGATAAATACTTGGATCGAATGAACTCGACTCGAATTATTAAAGAGCCGAAACGAGCTACTTGATACTCGACTCGAAAAGCTCGTGAGCAGCTCGAAAATATAATATATTAAGATTTTATTTCTTTTAAAATAAATTATTAATAATATTAACATTTATGTGCTGATTTTTTTTAAAATACAGTAAGGTTTTCATGTATTTAAGGTTTATGTTCGAGTTTGAGTTTGAGGCTTCAATCTAGTTAAGTTTAAGAATTTTTTTATTTTATTTTGAGCCTTTTCGAGCTGCTCACGATCTTTGGTTTAGGATTTTGAGTTCGAGTCGAGTTTAAAAATTTTAAGCTCACGAGTTTTCGAGTCGAGTCGAGCTCAACAATACTTGACTCGACTCGTTTACACCCCTAGTCCTCATCACCTTATGCGTTCTTTCTCCCCTTTTTTTTTGAAGGATTTTTTTTAATGGGGCATGAGGTGATCATGTATTTTCTTTCTCACTTCAATAATAAACAACCTTTGTTGAGTAAAAGAAAAAAAAAAGCACTTTACGACATTTTTATGATCATCCTAAGCACCGATGAACTCATCTAGTTGTCCCATATCACTTTATCGATTTAAATATCGCTAAAATTTCTTTTAAACTAATGAAATTAAATATCACTGTATTTTTTCGAGTTAAATGGTTTCAGAATTTTCTTACTATATTAATAACACACACCCTTCAAACGCCGCGACTTAAACCTTGGATCTCTAAAGAGATCAACATTTTGTTTTATCATTAAGGTCATTTAATAGGTTCAGTTCAGTCATATTTACCTTGCTTCTTAACGTTTTATGGATATCATGTTTTTATTTATTTTATATTTTTTAATTTTAATTATTTTATATATTTATGGTTTTTATTTTAGACATGTTGTAATTTTAGTATTTTATTATATTTTTCAATTATTTTTAATAAAGTGAATCATATGTTAATTGCGTACCTAAATGTGATGATTTTTGTGTTTGGACTTATGACACAAATGTAGTTGAGACCAAATCAGATCCAAGATGAAAGGATTTTATTGAATAACTAACTATTTGATTTTAATATAACAAATTATTAAATTATTAAAAAAATATATTCTTAAATAAATGATCAAATGGTTTAATAATGGTAAAAAATAGTTTTTAAGTTATTTTGGCTCGACTTATAATCTTAAAACATCTTTAAAGTGTCAAAAATATTTAAAATATTCAAAATTTGACCTCCAATTTTGAAACCACCTTTCTAATATTGAAATCAAGTTTTCTAAAATGCATTTTAGTATTGATATAGGGGTTTTAGTTTAAAATTTGAGTAGTGAGCTTGGATACGCTATGAGTAGGGTGAATTAACCTTTGAAAATTGATTGTGAAAGCAATTGGAAGATATAATTGTGAAAGCAATTAGGGTGAACTTTTTTTTTTTTTTAAATCATATTCAACTTTTAAAACATTTACACAAAGTACGAAAATATAACAATTTGATAAAAGTGGAACTCTTTGTTTGAAATCAAATACATAAACCCACATATTACAACTTGACAACCTTTACAAAAATCATAATCTTTACATGCCCACAAAGTCATCATCCTTGTACTTTGGTACTATGCTAAGATTCCTTCAATGATATTGTTGTCGTTCCACCGTGATTCTTGAAACTTGTAATTTACGCACGAAAACAATTCGAACATTGAGCTAACAAAGCTCGGAAGCACACATTTACTATACTATATTTCATGAGGTTTATAAGCATAAGCATGCAGATCAGGTATGAGCATAAAGACATCGAGCATAATGATATCAAGCATAATATAAGTATTCCTTAACTAGTCGTCAAGACTCAAGCATTTTCTCTAGCCTAGAGAGTATCATAAGTCATGCCATTTTAATTTTATGAATATCATAACTATTAACATTAGTTCGTACTCTATTCAAGAGTGTTATCATTCATTTATTAATCCAAGATTCTATGTTTTATGCTTATAGTCATTTTGCTAATAACAAGCTATCTAATGTCTCTTAACGTCAGATAATAGTCATTTATAATACATGATTTATCTAACCTTATGTACTAAAATCAACAATGATATACGATATCATAATGACAATACATAAATCAAGTACGAGGTTCGAGTCACACATGTATCAAACACTCATCCATAACATACAAGTAGGCATTATGGTGTAGTCTGGAATTACACGTGCATCACATGACTCACACCTTTTAGTCTATTGACATATGTATTTTAGATGAGATTGAGGCCATATTTGTATCAGGAACTTACATCAAATGACTCCACATGATATCACATTGGTTGAGACTTAAGTCACATCCATATCATGAACATACATACGGTTGGTCTACTCCTCTAAAATATATGGACGGCATTAATTATAAAAACGTATTTAAGGCAAAATATAAAATATTATTATCAAATTTTGTTTACTTTACGAGTCATATGTTCGTAACTTTTTTAATAGACATGTTCATAACCCTGACACATAATTAATTTATGTAAGGGTTATTTTTGGGTAGATGTATAGTTTTTGTGGTGTACAAAACTCAAAACGAATGAGAAGTGAGTATCAAACTGTTAAAAAGTCATTGAAACTTTCTCAAACAAGTCAATATTTGTCAGTAAAAAAAATAATTCCATCCACATCTATTTCGATTTACTTTTTTAATTTATTCTTTATATAATGATTTGTTTACATCGATTAATTCAGTTAAATTAATAAAATATTGTAGTTGAAATTTCGTTAAGAAATATCGATATCAATTTAGTCAAATGAAGTTAATTTTATAATGATCAGTAAAATGATTAGTAATTGAAATTAATCTTAACAAAATTATCCGTAGTTACTAATAACTTTATTTTAAATTTTTTATATTTTTAGGATCAAACTAAAAAATATTAAAAGTATAATAATTATAATAAAATTAATAATAAGACATTCAAAATAATTTTTGAGAATTAGATTCATTTAAAATTGATTTCTTAAAATACTTATTTTAGTTCCTCCACTTTTTTATATTTTAATTTTAAAATAAAAATATATATATGAAACGAAATCATCCCTATTTGCTCATTACTTTGTTGATCTTTATATCTCATTTTACTAAATAATTTCTCATTATCTTCGATTCCACAATATTTTGAATCATTAATATCTCCTAATTATTCAATTAATTCACTGATTATCCATTCAATCAGCGTATCAGAAACATAATAAAATATAGATTTATAAGAATTTTATACTCGATATATATATATATATATATATTATTTTAACGTATCTAAGAATAACTTTGAAGCTCAATTAAATTTAAAAACGTATTCAACAAAAACATGTTAGTTAAATAATGACAAAATCAAAAGACGAGACAAAACTTATTGACACTATTGTTCATTATTATTATTATTGGAAAAAATATTATATTATCTTATTTCTAGGATTTAATGAAATTTTTTATTAAAAAAAGAAAAAAATAATTATTTGAAGTAAATGATAAGTTTGAAAGACACATAAATTTTTTTATAGTCATAAGAATTAATTTTTCAAAAAACAGAAAATAAAAATGATTAATTAATTAAATTTTATTTTTTTCCACCAAACAAAACACACTTACTTTCTTAATATTTCGTGGTATTTTTACTCAAAAATACCATGACAGAAATTAATTATTCGTAAGACACTATTTTAAAACATTTTACCGATCTAACATTTATATAAGAAAAAGGGTAAAAACGGTGCTTCTCCGAAAAATACTAGATCGGTAAAATTTTCTCTACTCCTTTCAGTGCAAACAGAACCTGAAATGACAATGATACCCATACACGAAGATTCATATCCCATCTAAACCAAACGAAATCATTCTTTGCTTTATCCGGAGCAACTGTCTTGTTTTGTCCATGCACAAAATGCACCTGCCATTTTTCTCTGCTCGTTTCCATTATTGCCAAACAGAGAGTTTCCTCCATTAAAAAAGAAGGAATTCTTTGACGGAGAGAAGGATTGGGGGGTAATGGACGGCAATTCTGCGGAGGCTGAACGGTGGCTGTCCATAGCTGAGAAACTGTTGGTGGCGCGTGATTTGCACGGGACCCGAACCTTCGCCATCCGAGCCCGTGAATCGGCCCCTATCCTTGCCGACCAAATACTTGCGGTGACGGACACTCTCTTAACGGCGCAATCTAATCCTCATGATTGGTACGGGATCCTCCAACTCGTTCCTTTAACTCAGTCCATGGAAGTCGTGGCGAGTCAGTACAGGAAACTCGCCCTTCTTTTGAATCCTGGGAGGAACAGGCTTTCTTTCGCAGATCAGGCGTTTCGATTCGTTTCTGAAGCTTGGAATGTGTTGTCCAACCCTTCTAAGAAGGCCATTTACGATAACGAGTTGAGGTTCCTTCAGTTTGGTCAGGTGAGTCAACTCGATCAACAACAACAACCAATCTTCAGCCACAGCAGCTACCGCAAACGCAGACTCTGTTCATGCAGCCGCCTCCTGCGCCGAAGGAAACCCAATCGCTGTTCATGCAAACTCCACAGAAAGAAACGACGACGCAAGTTACTCAACAGCTTTTCACGAGAAGAAGCCCTAGAAGTACTGATAGAGATGGGCATGGTGCTTTAGAAGGAGAAGGGCAGTTGGGTCTAAATAACAAGCCGCCGGAGCCGATATGGAGGAGGCAGATGAATCAGATTGGTTTAGCTGGGACGGGTCAGGTTAATCAGTCAGGATCAGTCGGTTCCAGCCAGATTAGTCAGGTCGAGCCTATACAGACGAGTCAGTTTAATCGGCCTGAGCCTTTTCGCATGACCCAGGAGAATCAAACAGGAACCGATAACTCGACTCAGTTTAATCTGGCTGAGCCAACTCTGGCGGGTCAAATTAACCAGACAACAACTACTCCTCTTAGGGAGAATAGTCAGACACAGCCAACTAGTGTGACTCAGCCTAGAGAAGCCACTGAGTCAGATGGGTTGACTTTCTGGACAGCTTGTCCATACTGTTACGTTCTCTATGAGTATTTAAAGTTGTACGAGGATTGTACATTGAAGTGTCAGACTAAGAACTGCAGGAGAGCTTTTCATGCGGTTGTGATACCGTCGCCTCCAGTAAATGGAAAGGACACATTTCAGCTGCTGGGGGTTTTTCCCATTAGGATTCTCGAGGGGCGGTAATTTTCCCAGTTGGTCACCTATTTCGACCATGTATACTTGCCCAAATACTGCCAAAAAGTCTGCTCCAAGAGTGTATTATGATGATGATGATGCATATTTAGATCTTTCTGACTCGATTGGGACTTCTGATGACGATGATGATGATTGGCAGAATGAGAAGAGGAAGAAGGTGAAGAATGCCAAAGGGAAAGGGTCTGTGGGGAGAAATGCTAAGAAACCACAGAGTGAGAGAGTGAAGAAGGCGACTAATGAGAAAGCTGATGTTGATCGTAGTGGGAATTTGAGTGGTGTCTCTGCAGTGCCTGATGGTGTGCCAACTGCTGAATCGAGTAAAAGGGGGGTTGTTAATAGTGGGAGGAAGCAGATGGGAAGGGGGCAAAAGAATTTGGGGAAGTTGGATTTGAATGTAAAGTTTAGTAATGAAGTGGAAGAGCCGGTGCCAAGGAGGAATGAGGGGAATCACGCTGGCTATGGGGAGGAGGATAACATTGAAGAGAATGGGTTCTTTGAGGGTCTTGACGAGTTTTTGAGTAGCTTGCCTATACTTCCGGCTGTCGGGGATGATAAAGTTAAGGCTGCTTAGTGAAGTAAGATAACTTTTTTTTTCTTGCAGTAGTTGTAGTTGTTGTAATTAAATGCTTGTAGTATTTAACTATGTTCAGATGCTTAGGGCTCCTTTTATAACCTCTTTGAGGTTGAATCCGACTGTATATTTTGTAGCAGCATGTTTTGTCAATATTTTGATCGTTTTGTGCTGCTTATATACTCTGAATTAAATTTCCTGTTTGGGAGGATCATTAGAAAGTTTGGTAAAAATCATGACAATTTGTGGATTGAAGATGGAATGTTCTGTCAATCATGATTCTTGCAGTGGCAGGAATAGGCAGTAAGTTTTCTGACTGGTCTCTTTCTCTTTTGTGTTGAAAGAGTTATTAGTCATGATAATTGCTTGCTCCCCTCTTTTATTAAAAGGAAAAGAAAAAAGCTGAGGCTTAGATTTAATAAAGTTGGAAATATGCTTTGAAAAAAGTGGAATCGAGCTATTTAAGTTTGATACTCTTGCTTTTGAGAAGATTTTAATTACAGGGATTAAGATTCAATGGCTATGGAACCTCTATGAATTTAGTTGCCAATTCTTTTGCGTTTGCAAATCTGCCCCCTTTGGTCTAAGAGTGAGTTTCGAAGGTTATGGGGCCTCTATTGTTTTAGTGACAGATGCTCTTCTCTTTATTTGCTCCATAAATAAGTCCTAAACACAGATTTATTGAGTCGCGAATTCCTTAAATACACCCTTTAACTTCAAGTGGAGGAATCCGAATTGATGTTGTCAGACTCTGGTTTGAAGTACACAATTTCATATTCTAGTTGCAGATGCTGCTCAAACTTGCTGGTATGCTAATCCTCTAGTCATTAGCTGCTTATACCAATTTCGAGAGACATTTCTTCTTATAGACTCAAAATCCATTTACCAACAACAACAACAAAACCCAATTCCCATATGCAATGGGGTAAAGGGAAGGTAGAGTAGTAGGCTGCCCCCAACGCCAGGTTGAGAGTAGTTTCCGTGGAAGACCTCCGGCAGTCAGTAAATTAAAAATATAGATAAAATGCAATGCATGTATAAATAAATACATAAATACATAGTTGAACAGTATTCATATGCAGTCATTAATATCATTAATATCATATGCGCGTTTGTAATAGGCAGTAATATCATATGTGCGTTTGTAACATTGTGCTAAATCTCCAGAAATCTATTCTTCGGAAGATCCTTTGTACATTGCTTGATAAACTTCTTGCCCTTATGCAGAGACTTAAAATCTGTTTTTCCCATTGTTTTTATTTTTTGATAGCTGGTAACTGCTTTGGTATAAAATATTTTAATCAAATATCAGCATTCCTGTCACCATTCACCAAGCAAGCGTAGCCTTTTGATAATTGAATTGCTGTTCTCTTTTTCAGTTTCATTGTCTTTTAACACATCGTTTTTTTAAATTGCAATAGCTAACTTGTTGGTCAGATGTTAAAGAGCCCAACAAGTCATTCATCCTAATCATTAGTTGTAGTTTGTTGCAATATGGATGGCTGCTGATCTTAAATGTTTCTGTTATGTGTGCTGTAAGTTTATGGTTTTCTTTTCTCTGTGGTTGTACTGATAATGCATCGAAAGGTTTCTATTTTTCCTAAAATCTAATTTAGTGAGCAAGATATGCTGTAACGAGTTGCTGGTTGGATAATTTTTTATTGGAACCTGTTTTTGTAATTTGTATGAGGTTTTGGCTTGTTGTAATCGACTCTTAAGGGTGTTGTATGATGCTGGCCTGGGAAGACACATGGCCTTTAATCTAATTGTGAACTAAGCTTTGCTTGTCAAAAACTGGAGGATCCTTTGGTTCTTTGTAGTGGTGAAATGTTGGTGAGTTTTAGATGCTGCGAAGATGTACAATAGCAGTATCGATTGTGGATCGCAGATCACTTGGGATGCCATATAACAGTTTTCTTTCCTGCCTACCACACCAAACAATTGAAGAGTGTAACAACTTATTGCTGTCTTATTCAAGGGCAAAAAGGTACGTATCCATGAACTTGATAAAAGACAGTATCTCCTATAATTTGTTTTACTAAGCATCTCCCATCTATTTAGAAGTGTACCATGAGTATTTGGTTAATCTTAGACATGGAATCGAAGTAATTCGATTCTTCTGTATTAAAGTGGCAATGAGCCACAGAGTTGATCCGGTAATTGTCAACTTGCTATTGGACGCAATGCCAGCATTGCCAAATGTGTGGTTATATCTCTGATGCAATTTTTTTGAGATGGCATCTTAAGCTTTGCACAGCTAGAATGAGTTTGAAATGCTTTGCTCGTTATCTTCGGCACAAATTACTTACTGTCGATGGTCTCCATATTCCATGTTTAATAGAAATTAAGTGAAAACATGTTACTGTGAATCCCACAGCAGAGCTCTTTAGTTGTTTCATGTCCAAGCAGAGCTTGTAAAAGATATGCTTCGTAAACAAGAGTTTTGCATGTTTGGTTTAGCTGTCGGAGTGTCGGTTTTCCATGTTTGGGTGACAGAGAAGATAATAATCTTGAATGGTCTAATTTAGAAAAGGAAATAAGAGTTGATTGTTGAGAGAACATGTCATTTGCATCCGCACCTAAACAATTTTAAACTTTCAATATTAAGTAGAAAATATTTACTTAAGAACTCATAGAGTTCGATACTTTTCAGGTTCAGGCCAATGATTTGGATATCTCCGGATGGCCCATGCGTTGATCATGACTCTAGTCTTGGATGGTATCTCGAATCCATTAACCTCGCAGCTTTTGTTATATTCTGTTTTATAACACATTTCCCTTACCATGGACCTCCACCTCAGCGTCGTAACAATTAACTACGGAAATCATTGGTCAAAGAGTCACATTGATTATTTTAAGTCTGAGGATCACATTGAATTTTTTTTAAAAAAATTATCATCTCCAATAATAATTTTTACTGCGAGTTAATCTCCGCTAAAGATATTTAACTCTATTGAGTAGTTGTAAAAGAGTGCAAACATTTACATACCCAATGCACTCCTAAATTGGTGTACGTACGAGTATGCATACATACATATATACATCACAGCGTAAACGAAAATGATAAAATATCGTTCCTGAAATCTTATGGAAGTTGGATATACAACCTCAGGGAAAATCGACTTAATGGTGGAGAAGGATGTTGTAACATAGATTCAATCAATAAACTTTGACAAATATGGGATAATTGAAAAGAAAGGAAATTAATTTAACTTGATATATAATCTTAAATAATTATAAGTTTGAAAAAAAATGCATCGCTTTAGAAAGAATGAAAGAAAATACTAGAAACTATCATGTTCTTTTAAACAAGGTACATCTGGATGAACCTTTCCACTTCTAAACCCCTCAACATTGCGGCAGTAGGATAGAGTGCTGTCGTGTTGGTTTACATTTGTCAAATGGATGTTCTTCATGGCAATGTTTTTGCATGGAATGGACTCACTGCATGAAAGTTGTACTGCTATTTCTTTACGTGATGTCCCTCAGATTTCTTCATATGCTATCTTGCTAATCTCTACAGCTGATGCCTGTAAAATATATCATTTTATTAACCCGAAATCTAATAATACACCATCCAAAAATACACTAATTTCCCTATAATTAATCACTTACTTGGTTCTTGCAATGCTTACGAGGACAATAATATTGATCTATAACAATAGGACGAGTTGAAGCATGAGAAGTTATATGTTCAAATTTGATGTTTCTCGTATGTCCATGTCCTCCCTAAACACACAACAGTATTTCTCTTTATTAGCAAATATTAATGTTAACATTAGAGAAAAATAAAAAGTAAATAATTACATATGTACATGTCATGTCTTTATTCTGACTCCGTTTGTTGTTTCATTGAAAGAAACATTTCTTACATGAACAAATTCAACATTCTCAAATTTTCCAATAATTCCAAGGCTTCCAATGCTTCGTGTGACAATAAAAAGTTAGAAGAAAAATAGAATTAACATTAAGCTTTAATTTCATAAAGCAAGAGCTAAGATCATTGCAAAAAGATGATGCTTCGCGTGACAATGAAAAGTTAGAAGAAAAATAGAATTAATATTAAGGTTTAATTTCATAAAGCAAGAGCTAAGATCATTGCAAAAAGATGTACGAGAATAAAAGAAAACTTACATAATTTCATGACCTGAACCATAATTGATGTCACTAATGCTTATGTATTTAGAACCGTCTCCAATTGATATACAATCTTCACCTGATTCAGAAAATAAATAAAATATTAAAACAAATATATATAACACCAAACCATATATAAAATGAAACAAACCAAAGAAACAAACCGGTTTGAATGATCATGTCAATAGAGACATTAGTGGAACGTTGGATATGAATGACATCGGTGTTGGGCCCCTACTTAATTAAATATTTAATAATTTTTATATTTAATAAATTTTTATATTTTTTAGTTCGACCCCTATTTGATTAAATATTTAATAAATTTTTATATTTTTTAAATTTAAATATTTATTTTTACATGGACCAAAATACTATTAAATCGAAATTATATCGAATATATAAATTTTAACAGGGCCGAGATGCCCTTGGGACTTAAGGGAGCTCCGTCCCTAATCCAAAGCATTCTTAAAGCCCTAAATAATAAACAATCAAACAGTTTAAACAACTGCTACAATATATACGTATACGTATACATATATAAGCATGTAAAGAAAAACCTTAGAATCATCTTTGACTCCATCTCCAATAGCTCCAAAGTTGATGACATTAAATATATCGTCACCGTAACCATCAGTTTTCTTTTTCTTCTCCAACAGACGAGAAGATTCAGTCAATAAGGTGCATTGTATCAAAAGAACAAAGAAGAGGATTTTCTTCAAAGTTGTCATAGTGATGATTTTTTTTTTCCTTGGGAAAAATAATGGCCAGCTATAGATAAGCTAAATAGAAACTAGTTTCTCAAGTTTTATTTTTGGTCTGCTACAAAATGTAGTGCTAGAACTAGTGTCTGGTTTTGTTTTACTAATATTATTTACAAACTTACATGCCTATAATTCAGATTCAATACTAAACCTTGCTTCCAAGCTCCGCTCCATCTTCCTCGGATTCATTGTCTTTGTTATGGATTTGAATCGGCTTATAAGTATACAGCTTAGCGCAACATATGTAGTAAACAAGATTAACCA